GCCTAACAAAGGGAGCAATCGGTTGAATCGTGGAGCTATTATACACAATTCTGTTTAATAGCTCCATGGTCAGACGAACAATAGTAAACATTCCACAAATTCCTGATTACTGCTTGCAACTTAGCCAGACAAGTGGGGCCAGTAATGTTGTAGGAATATTTTTTTAGTGTTTTCTTTGCAATTAACTAAAACTTATCGCAGTGACCAGGAAACAGAAAGAATAAATATCTAAGATTAGATATACTTTTGCCGTCGTTAGTAATTTTTTTTAAAGATTTTGATGCACTTCTCCATCACTCAAAAACATCATTTTTCAAAGTCTTTGTACGAATTTGGCTAAAACTGGCCAACGACATGTTGAGCACCATAGGACAGTTAAGTTCACGAAAAACAAAATGCGCTGTTTCATTACGGGAAGTGATCGTGAGATCTCATAAAATACCTTTTTATGTAAATACCGTAATAAAACTTATTGAATTAAAACACAATATCTTATAAACAACTTGGCTATTTATTATCAAAATAAGTTCATAAGAAAGCGTTCGATAAGGGTAATAACTGCATATGAACACTCCGGTACACAGCCTAATGAAAGCAACTGCGCAAGCAATAAATTTGATGTTGTCAGATATCATACCAAGCACCAACGATGACATGAATATTCAACTTCCTATACTGCAGTACACAACTTTTTAGTCTGGATATCAGACCCGATGATTCTGACCACCTGATGAGTCAACCATATGATGTAAGATATGGGGCGGACAGACCCCCCCCCGCTTGTGTTGGTCATTGTTTGATCGGAATCTCAGGTTTTCTTTATAGACTTCCAGGGGGGGATGTGTTAGGTAACAATAGTCTAGAGTGTGTATAGGGATTGGACATGGGGGGGGACCCATGGGCCCCATATCGTGCACGGTATCGAATCAAGGGTCCGGTATCACCCAATGTCACGTGACCAGGACTGCAGGAATTCCTCCAGTTTTCCGGAAATAGCCGAAATATTCCAAAGTCGTCCCGTCTACATTCTGCATGTTCGGATGGTACCATTGATGTTCGGTTATTCTGGTCGGATAGGGGGGCTTGTTGAACGTAAACCGTCAATCGCCAATGTCGTCCCCATACATAAATCTGGTGACCCTCATAACCCTACCAATTACAGACTCATTTCACTTTGCTCGACGGTCAGTAAATGCCTGGAAAAAAATCATTGCGCGCCATCTTGTTCAACACATGTACAGGAGTGGTATTGTCTCTGACTGCCAGCATGGCTTCCTCCCGAAAAGGTCTTGCGTTACTCAACTTACTACTTTATATCATCATTGGAAGATGTGAATCCCCCTCGCATTGACGCCATCTTTTTGGATCGGTATAAGGCGTTTGATCGGGTGAGTCATTGTGTTCTCCTCCAAAAGTTACATAAATCCCAAAAGTTACATAAA